AGTGTATTCAGGCAGCCTATATAATTTAGTTGTCAAAATTTTCTTTAAATATAAACTCATAAACTCACAGAATATATACTTTTACAGTACTTTCCATTATATACTAAGTCAGTTACAGTATGGAACTTAATGTACTCTTGAAATTCAACTTAGTAGCACTAATTAGAATTTGTGTCCAAGAAGATTCTAAGAAAGATTGATATAGCCAATTTCAGGCTTTTTTTGTTTGTTTTCATGTGTCTGCAGACTTTTAAGAAACATAATAACAGCACTAATATATAATACACATACTATCCAATTCACCCACTTAAAGTGTACAAGGTAGTGAATAGGACCATCATCACTATCTAATTCCAGAATATTTTCATTATCTCCAAAGGAGACCGCATACCCATTAAATAGTTATTCTACTTTATCCCCTTGCCTTGGCCCTCACAATCACTAATTTGCTTTTTTACTCTATGGATTGCCTACTCTGGATATTTAATATAAATTGAACCATACAATATGTGGCAATTGTGACTGGCTTCTTCCATTTAGCATAATGTTTTTGAGGTCCATTTATGTTGTAGCATCTATCAGCACTTTATTCCTTTTAATGTGGAATAATATTCCATTTTGTGGATATATCACATTTTGTGTATCCATTCATCTGTTGAGAGACACTTGGGTTTTTTCTACCTTTTAACTATTGTGAATAGTGCTGCTATGCACATAAGTGTACAAATATTTCTTTGAGACCCTGCTTTCAATTCTTTTGGTATGTACCTAGGTATAGAAGTGCTAGGTCATATGGTAACTGTTTAACATTTTGAGGAACTTTCAGCCTGCCACAGCAGATACACTATTTTACATTCCCACCAACAATGTATAACAACTCAAATTTCTTCCCCATTTCTGTTTTTATTAGAGCCATCCTAATGGGTGTAGAGTAGTATCACACTGTGGTTTTCACTTGCATTTCCCTCATCTGGCTACTTCCATATATTTTTTTTCTAGGGGTCATTTGCCTGACAACCTTAGCCCTCTAGAACATGGTCCTTTATGGAACATATTGTGAAAGGTCCCCTACACAAATAAGAGCAGTCATAGATCTTCTGCATGAAAGCCCTGCACTTTGCTCCCTGAGGCCCCTCATTCACTGAGTAACTCTTATTCAACATTCATGATTGGCTATAATGTTTTACAGAAGGGAGCTAGATAGTCCACTATGGCAGATATTGTGGCAAGTAAGAGTAGAAGTCTAACCACTACAGCGTACACCGGAAACTAATACAAAAAGATAATATTGAATGTAAGCCGTAATTGAAAAATAAAATTTAAAATAAATAAATACATTTTCAAGTAAAAAAATAATAGAAGTGACAAATATTCATCTGCTACCGAAGAAGAACTATAATATTTCCCAGGACATTTGTGACCCCAAGCCTTCAACCAGAGGCCAAATTACGTTCAATATTTTCTAAGAAGCCAAAACTACATATAATACATTTTAGAAAGATTTCCATTAAAAATGACTCAAGAAATTCACCCTTTGCTTTTGAATGGATAAGCTTGCATGGATTTCCTAGATACTTAATTTCCCATTGGCATCTGAAAAATTAGGTGATATTGAACATCTTGAATGTGGAAAAGACAAATAGCAAATTCAGATTCTACAAAGTTATAGAAGACATTGTTTAAAAAAAGTAAATGAAAAATTTTAAAGAACTGTAATTCTACTTTTTTTATAAAGTTAACAGTTAGTTGATTTGCCTTGTACTCATTGCTTACTTTTGTTTTAGAAATTCCCTGTTACTTCAGTATGTGTTCATGGCATACTGCCAGTAAATTAACCTTTCATCTGCCTTATCAGCTGAATTGCTAGAATTTGTTGCTGGTTGACACTGGGTTAAACTGCAAACCTTAAAGCTGCACAATACTGAATGTATGAATGAACAGTGCTTTCTGTCTCACTTATTTGTACATGCTGAAACCTTTTTCTAAGTTGTTCCAATATCCCTTCATGGAGACTAATAGCTAATAGAGCATACACAGAAAAAAAACCCCCAGCATCTTTTCAAAGGATTTCTTTATGTGAAGCACATGTTACATTTCTAGCCTCTATCCTGCCTCATTTTCTGTGGGTCTCCAGCTAGTTATGTCATGACCATTTTATGTGATCATAAACAATTACATTTCAAGTACACATACAGAGTTACCTCGTAGAGCAACTTAAATTTTCTTAGCAATTCCTGTTTTCTGGATTTTGAGAGCAGATAATCAAGCCTTCAATCAGAATGTAGTAAGGCCAGTTTAAAGACAGGTTTGTGGTAGCCTGTAAAAACTTGAGACGTGCAGGTGCATCATAACTGTGTAAAAGTCTGTCATGTCAGGCTCTGGGATTTTCTGTGCAGTAGACCCAAGAATGAATTTCTTACCCCAAATGATCAAAATTAAGAATTCTTTTTAAAATTGGGTTGTTGCCTAGTCTTGTATTACAACAGTGAATCTTTTACTGTGCACAATTCTACACTGGGAAATTCACATTTTATTGACAATGGCTAATTGAAGTGTATTGCACTGTCAGTATTTTGATGCCTCCTGTTTTAAATAGGATATAGTTACTTCTTTTCTAAATCTAGAGTTTAAATCAGAAGCATTGTATGATATTTGCTAATTTTATTTTATGTTTTCCTTGCAGGTTTCTGAGGTGTCTTTTCTGAAAGCTCTTCTGCTTTGATTCCACTCTAGAGCTGTCTCTTTATAAACTCCTCTCCTTACCACCACCACCCCCACCCAAAACCTGGTGTGCTCATTCTTTTAATTTCTTTGATTCTCAGTTTTTCATAGTCAATTTCCCTCATCCTGATTTTGCAGCAATTTTTTTTTTACAATTGTAACATCCTTACCAACCATAATCTTTAAAGCCAAGAAATAGGGAGAAAAACTTTTCTCCCCCTGAACTGAGACCATTTCACAAATTGAAGGGCAGCCAACAGCATATGCTTTTTGCCAAAATAATTGAAAACATCAACTGGAGAGCACATAATTCTTTTGAAAGTCCACCAGTTATTTGAAGTAACTTTGGCAGAAGAACAAAATAAAACACTCAATATTTTAACCTTTATGGTTGCCTTCTTAGAAGTTGGTTTCTAATTTGGTTTTTAGTTATTCTGATACAATTTTTATTGTATGATTGGCTTTTTGTTTGACTAGACCTAATTTGACTTCAATGCAAACCTAAGTGCTAACGAAGAAATATTTCACCAAAGCAATCTGTGATCTCTTTACATTTAGCTTGAATTCATTTTTAATATTTTAACAACAGCAGTAATACTGTCTTAGAGAGGGTGCACTTGATTTTATTTTGCTTTCAATATGACGGCTGTCAATGTTGCCCTGGTTCGTGATACCAAGTGGCTGACTTTAGAAGTCTGTAGAGAATTTCAGAGAGGAACCTGTTCTCGAGCTGATGCAGACTGCAAGTTTGCCCATCCACCAAGAGATTGCCATGTGGAAAATGGCCGTGTGGTGGCTTGTTTTGATTCTTTAAAGGTGAGTCTCATCTAAATGCACATAATGTTTAAATTAAATCTGTTTATTTCTATTTTTGAAAGATGATGTGCTTTGAAATTGGTAAAGTTAATAACATGAAAGTGGTTAAGTTTTTCTTTTGTTTGTTTTTTAAGACAGGATGTAGACCTTGTGTTTGTATAACTAAGCCAGGCTAAAGTTCACCCCATCAAAGACAGTGATCAAAAGAGATAGGTTTAAAGAAAAAAAATTTAAAAGTTTTTGTAAGAATGAGAAATTTCAGCCTTGCCATAATTCTTGTGTACAATTTAGGTTTTGAGTACAGTGATCATAATCCTCATATAATCTAGAGAAGTCCTCTACTGAATTATGTTATCAAAATACAATTGTCAAGGACCGGTCAGCTTTCAGAGAATAAAGTCAGGCCCAGAGAGAATAAGGTGAAAACATCACTATCCAGAAAGAAAATGATGGCATTTTAAAATTTCTTAGTCAAAGTATATTTTGAATGTTTAACATATTGTTGTAAAACTAGATTCACTTGTTTTATCTTCCTGAACTGCTTTTTGACCAATTTCAAATTTGTCAGTACATTTTGTAAGAAAAGTCCTATTGCCAAGGCCAACAAACCCAAATAATATGTACTATAGAATAAACAAAATATGAAAGCAAAGGAAATATTATGTAGAATAGAACATATATGATTGCAGAACAAACAAATGCACTGATTTTCATCTTTTACTAAGTTATCCTTAAATTAAGGATAAAGATGAATAAATTAAAGAAGTAAAAAAGCAATAGATTCCTGGTCTAATTAGTAAGATTTGCTAGGATACATTAAAATTTTTTTTTCAAAATGTGTTAAAATGAATTAAACTTAGCAAGAACTTTCAAATTTCTTGATATTATTTTATACTTGTGACCAATTTTACCTTATTAACATTTTTATTTATGCACTGACTAATAGAGATGTATTTCTTCATGTGCACTTTTCTTAAAAAAATTATCAAGTGATACTACTTAAGTAGTTACTTTTACTTATTTTGTAGTTACTAGTTTTTGTTATAAATCATTCCAGTTCAAGAATGAAAACTTATTACCATAAAGGATGGTAATCCCTACCATTAAAAATGTCTGGATTACTCTTATTTGCAGTAATTATTATGACTAAAGGCTTATTCTGTTTTCTTTATTTCAGTTTCATTCAAGTTTCTATCTACAGTTACTTTGTATATTATTTAAATCTACTGCTGCAGAACTGGGCAGTGCCATGAAGTGGAAGAGCACTGGGTTAGTTGGGGGGTGGGATATGTCTTTCATCCAGTCCATAAAAAGGATCTGTCACTGCACTAGGAATTTTACATATTTATTTTCAGGAGCTCTGGGTTGCAGTCCCAACCCCACTATTGACCTTGGCTACTTAATCTGACACAACTTGAGTTCTTTCATCTCTAACAGATGGATCTTCTTCTCTACTTATCCTCCATGATTATTGTGGAGATTTCAATAGATAATATAAATGAAATATCATTTATTATTATAAAAGTGAATTAAATGAAAGGTTTTCTTACTAGTAGGAGTCTTCAAAAACAGTTCTATTAAGTTAGTGTTTATTATTTAAAAATATATACTCATGTTTCAAATATATATGCCCAAATCTAGTTGTCTGAGTGTCATGTTAGTTCTTCAAGCTAAGTATCACTGTTTTTATGGTTTACTCTTTGACATAGAGTTCCTTTCAGGTTTTGTAATATCTATCTTCCCAGACATCTGGTGGAAGGATACATGTGATGTTCCTAATCATTGTTAGAGTTCAAATCAGTTCTTCCACTTAAAGATAAAGTGCCACAAAGGAAACATTTTGAGGAAAAGTAATATAGAAAGTGATTGTTAACAAAATGCATACTGCACTATCACTTTAAAGCTTGGAAAATGTTTAATTCAGAAACTCATAGATAAAAGCCAATAAATATTAATAAACCACTTATTTAAAATATACTATCTATTCACTGCATTCAGAGTTTTAAAAATGTTTTGCATTATGTTAATACCTGATGACCAGTCACACAGGATATGGATGATTTGCATCATTATTACATTATCAAATTTTAATGAAAACCTTAATGTTTCAAATATACAATGCCTTCCAAAAAGTTTCTATTTAGATAGCATATTTGTCACATTTCCATGTCTGCACAAAAGCTTTGTAGTTCTCTTCTTTTTTATTATCTTTATTCTAGACATGCTTGAAATGTATGCTAAGTTGAGGGTAATTGACCTATGTGGATTGTACTGTTATCATATCTATAATACACAAATTACACACCTCAATGACTATTGCAGCATTTGCTACCCCCTCTCTTGAGTTTGTATAATTGAAACACCTTCAAAATGCACCTGTTTCTTCTTTTATGAGTGGTTAAATAATTGAAGCAATCATTTGATGAGTTTTGGGCTGATGCTTTTGTTGTTTTTATTTTTTATTTTTATGAGGACTCCTTTAACAGTAGGTACTCTACCAGATGATGGTTCTTTGCCTTCATAATAGGCAAAATAAATATAATGTCCTATATTGACTCATAATGAGATAATATTGTGAATATAAAGAGGGCAAACTTGATGGCTAATTGTGCATTGTGCTGAAGTGCTCTGCCCATCACTTTGTGAATGTTGAGTGTTCAATGATAAAGGTTTCACTATCTTCAGATAGAGCCCTAGAGAGTGTAGCCCATAGATTATTTTCCAGCTACATAAAAGAGTATTGTGTTATGTTGATATGCAGCTGTTTTTTACTCAATTGCCTAGTCTGCTTGACACAATTTATTTAAAAATTTCACTCCCAAGTATTGCTTAACTCATTCTGCACCAAGTTTTTGATATTACAGTTTACCATTGATTTGGTTTGGTAGTTTTAGTGAATGTTTCTAGCAGTTAACAAAACATCATCATTAAAAATACCAACCTAAAATCTTTGAGATTATTTTCATAGTCAAGAATGTTATCTTCATGTATTCTGCTTCAACAATGTCATATCTTGAACCTTCCCTTCCATACCTGAAGCAGTGTGAAATCAGCCATCTGTTTTCCAGAAAGAATATAAATGCTATCATTATTTCATTATGACATATCAACACCCATCACATCTGCCCAATCCACTCACCACTTTGGGTAGTTTTGTAATAAAAGTTATCGGGAAAGGTCTTAACATCTGGCATAGTCAGAAAATAGTCATGTTAACCCATATACATTCCTAAAATATTGGAACACACACAAAACAGTCCCACACTATCTTTAAATATCTCATATGATCACAAGCATAATATTTTCACAAGTGAAACCTGTTCTATAGGCCTATGAATGTGAATCTATCCTTGTAGGTCAAATTGTCCTCAGTTGCTAGTATATTTTGCACTAGTATCACTAGTCACAACAGTTTTCACTAGTTTTAAATTTGATCATCTTTTGACTGAATATTTACCTCATCCCTGTTTGCTAAGGGAAAATTTATAGGGAGCAGAAGACTTTTAGCAACATAATCCCAAGGGTTTTTGGATTATGCAAGATTTAGAACCATTTTTGAGCTCCAGCAGAGGTGTCTGCTGCTCTATAAAGACACAAAGGCAGCACCTGTCATCTTTAGACTCAAGGAAAATAACATTTTACTTAAGGATCTCTATCTTCTATGATATTAACCTTAAAAAGGAGTGTCTTTGGTAAAGGTCAATGCTATTTTGTACATTTCAAACACCACTTGAAAGACTCATGGACAGAGACATTTGTTGCTTTCAGTTTTATATCCCACATATGAGTGAAATCATATGGTTCTTAACTTTTTCTGACTGACTTATTTAGCTTAGTATGGTATTCTCAAGATCTATACGTGTTTTCACAAATGGCAGTGTTGCATCTTTTCTATGGCTGAGTGATATTCCATTGTTTATACGTACGACATCTTCTTTATCTAATCATTGTCCTGGCCACTGTGAATAATGCCATTTACAATGAACACAGGTATGCATATATCAATGAATAAATGTTTTTAAATTTTGGGGGTAGATACCCAGAAGAGGAGTTATTTGGTTAGTTGATAACACTATTCTTAATTTTTTTTAGGAATCTCCATGTTGTTTTCCATACTGGCTGGGTCAGTTTACATTCCCAGCAGAGAATGAGGGTTCCCTTTTTTCCACAAACTCTAACACTTATTACTTGTCTTGTTGATAATAGCCATTCTAACAGAGGTCAGGTGGCATCTCGTTGTAATTGTTTTTTACAGATGTCCCATTTTTCCCCCATTGACCCTGCTCCAGCCCCCCTCCAGGCCTTCACTGCATTATTGTCTGAGTCCATGGGTTATGCACATATGCATATAAGTTCTTTGGTTAATCTCTTCCCATCCCTCCTTCCCTCTGAGATTCGTCAGTCTGTTGCATGCTTCCACGTCTCTGGATTTATTTTGTTCATCAGTTTCTTTTGCTCATTAGATTCCACATATAAGTGAGATCATGTGATACTTGTCTTTCTCTGACTGGCTTATTTCACTTAGCATATCACTCTCCAGGTCCCTCCATGCTCTCTCAAAGGTAAGAGATCCTTTTTTACAGCATGGTATTCCATTGTGTAAATGTACCACAGCTTTTTTATCCACTCATCTAATTGTAGTTTTGATTTGCATTTCCCTAATAGCTAGTCAAGCTGAGCATCTTTGCATATATCTGTTGGCCATTTGTATGTCTTTTTCAGAGAATTTTCTGTTCAGATACTCTTCCCATTTTTTTTACTTGAATTATTTGTTTGGTGTTGAGTTGTATGAGTTCTTTATATATTTTGGATATTGACCTCTTGTAGGAGCTATTTTTCTGATCAGAAAAATTAAAAAACAGCTTTTTTAGAAAACTGATATAGAGACAAATTTATTTTAGAAAAATATATACTTCCATTACCCAATGGAATTCTTAATATATTTCTTTTCAAAATTTCTTTTTAAAAATATATCTTTATTGATTTCAGAGAGGAAGGGA